CAGGATTGTCATTGACTGAGGAACTGGCAGGGCTTGTTCTGCCACCTGGGACGTGGACAAGTAGTGATGGGAGACAGAGGGTTTTGTTTTTGTTTTTTACTTATATAGAAAAATCAAATAGTCAGATGGTTAAAGATTTCAAAATTAATTACGGGTTTAAGATTAGTTTTTATTTTTGGAGTAATTTTAAATGGAACCCCTTGAACTTGCCACTCCTGTGTCACGGATACTCTGACACCACTGGTGTGCTGAGTTTTCACCAGGTGCATGAATCGGTGAGGGACTGGTGTGATCTTCCTCTTACAGAAGGAGCACTCTTCTCTCAGTCTGGAGCCGCGGCTCTAATCTTGGAGTGACTTTGCTACCTGTGATATTGATCTAGCAGTGACTGCGCCTCCCCTGCCCTCCGGCTCTGCTGGCTCCATGCAGCCCAGGGCCAGGCACAGCCGTCTTCCTTCCCTCCTCCGTGTCAGGAGGAGTGTGGCCTCGCTGTTCCACAGAGGCAACGTCATCTCGTCAGATCCAATGTGAACTGAGAACCATGAGCACTTCTCTTGGGAAGGAGCAGCTGGAATCTCTGGCCCAAGTGGGGACAGATGGGATTCCACAGGAATCGTGTCCTCTCTGTGGACAGCTGGATGACCTCTAACATGCCCTCGTGAAGGAGCCTGAGGTTCCAGGCCCAGGTGCATTGCAGTGACAGCACAGAGTGTCACAGAAGTGACAAGGCGCTGAGCCCCTGGGGCCTCCAGCTGCGCTTTGCACCTGAGACTGACTCTTCTGCAGGAGCTATGAAAAGCACCTGTTGCAGGAGAGATCAGAGTTCAGTGTCGGAAGATGAGCAGGTGGACTGAATGCCCACAGAGCACAACGCCCTCTTAGGTTCCAGGACTCGGATGTTTGGTCTTCTCCGCGTCTTCCCTGGGTGTGCTCTCCCTAGGGATGGGAGGCAGAAGCAGCAGCACTGTTGTTCTGAGCGTCCACTTGCGAGTGGGGATGCTAGTGTGTGCGCATTTTACAAATCCGCAATTTGCCAATACATAGTGGTAGAACAATCCACTTGCTCACCCGTGACTCACCTGAATTATTTATTTATGTATTTTTAAAATGTTTAGTGGTGCCGCGGAGGACAGTGTGTGAAGTATGGTGCCGAAGGCCCCAAGCCCACCCATGGACATTGGTCGGACTGGTCCCCCTGGTCCCCCTGCTCCAGGACCTGCGGGGGCGGGGTGTCTCACAGAGACCGCCTCTGCACCAATCCCAGGTATGTCCCTCGCTCCATGGGCCCTCCCAACAGCCTGCCAGTGCCCACACTCGGAAACACCGACTGTGTACTTTGCACAATGTTGTACAAGACACTGAGCACAAAAAGCATTTTACTCAAGAATTGCTTAAATGAGCATCTCTGAGACAATGTCAGATGCCGATAACTCCCTGACCCTAGCAAAAAGCAACAGACTCAGAAATTGGGATTTAACCACAGGTACTTGAAATGCTAAGGGTCTGCTTAACCAGCTAAATTGTAAGAGAAATATGTAGAACCCGAGGGAATAAGAAGCCCTAAGAACAACTCTTCCAAGCAAAAAGATAAAACAAAAAAAAAAATTGGTTTTCCATCAAATGCCTTCACCTTTACAACAAGAGATTTAACCATGGACTTGGGTAGAGGACAGACAGAGAGAGGCACTTCCCACATGGGAGAGTTTCAAATCCTCCTCTTGCTCCTGGTTGGTTGAAGACCCCAGTGGCCGTACTCTTCTGCTCCTCCTGTCCGAGAAGCCTGAGGCGGGTATGGCCTGTCCACTGTCCTCTCAGGCCCTTGCTCCCAGGTTGCTTGCACATGCCCCGGGGCAGGTGGAGCTCTGCATGGGCCCTGGCATGCTGGCCTTGTGACAAAGAGGCTGGCCTGGGAAGGAGCAGGGTCAGGAGATCAAAGCCCTGGACCAGCAGTCCCAGTTCTCCCTGGGAAAGCCCCCCTCCTGAGCAGCTCCCCCAGGGGGACATGGTGCAGCTTCTCACATGGGAGTTTCCTAACTGGGGGCTTCACATTCCAGACCATCGCATGGAGGGAAGTTTTGTGAGGGCCCGACCCGCACCCTGAAGCTCTGCAACAGTCAGCCATGCCCCCCGGACAGCATGGACTTCCGCGCCGCCCAGTGCGCCGCGTACAACAGCCAGCGGTTCCGGGGCTGGCACTACAAGTGGAAGCCTTACACCCAGGTGGCAGGTAAGCCGGAGCCCACTCTTGGGCACAGCCCTGGCTTTGTGACTTTTGCTTACCAATTGTGTGACTGGCAGCGCGGTTGCCAAGGCACGTTAACGCCACCCTGTGGGGTCGGCTCCGCTGCTCACTCTAATGAGGGCTGGTGTAGTTTGGCCTGTCCCACCACCTTGGCATCTCATCCACATGTGGCCAGCTGTGTGGTCAGCAATCCATAGGCCAGACAGAGAGCAGGGGCATAATGCAAGGAAATTTGTTAAAGAAATAATAAGAAATTCAAAGCTGATGGTATATTAAAAATGAATCAATTTTTTAAAATATGAGTCCCAGTATTTGACGGCAATGTTATTAGAAACATATAATCCATTAAATATTTAGAATTATTAAATAATGGAAGAAAAACTGTAGGAGATTTTAGAACATTAGATAATTTTCAAATATACTATATTCAGGAAGTGTAGCTCAAGTGGCATAATTGGGAGAAACCTAAAGCACAGTTAGTCACCTCATTCTTTGAAATGGGAACACTGTCCAGACAGACACGGAGACCCTGGGAAACACATGCATTGGGATATCCCACCCGGGGTTCACAGTCGTTGATTCATTGTGATCGGGAGGCAGGTGCACAGGGGCAGTAAATGCAGGGTGGGAGATGGCAGGCCACTCCTACATGACACCTTTGGTTGTGCTCTTCCCCACACCCTGCAAGAATCAGGCCAGGCAGGAGGAGGAGCAAGCCAAGGTCAGGAGAGACCAGAGGAATGAACTTTGAAACAGGGGTCAGAAATGTGTGTGCTCCTCGTGATTTTGCTAGCCTTCAGTGAATAAATCAGTTACTCATGGAAGCACATACCAAGTCATAAATTAGTCACCCCTGGAAGCACACACTAAATTTGATTCTTGAAATCATTCTGTGGGGCCACTTACCCTGAACAGGAGGGAAATGACCTGTGGATGAGTCTTGGGCCTATGGAAATTGCCAAGGTGGACAGCTTTCATCCCCAACTGTTCCTTCCTTATCAGAAAGAGAACACAAAGATAAAGGCTTTTACAAAAGCCATGTTAACTAGATCAGCCACAAGACCTTGAAGGGATTCCTGGGGCCGGACGTGAACTTTCTATATTCTCTATACACCAGTCACTATTCTTGAGAATCCATTACCTTTGTAGAAATTGTTGCTTTCTGGAAAATTCTATTAAAAGTGATCCCTTTTATGTTTAAAAACTGTATATATTTCATCAAATGTGTTAAGAAATTTGGTGGCTCTCTTAAGTATTTTATTACATCTTATTTGTAAGAGTTTTGCACATGCTCCACAATGGCAGTGGCCTTTATGCACTCCTGAAAGGGTAGAGAATTGTGAGGCGAAACATAATGTCGGAGTTAAATCAACAAATATTTATTGAATGCCTACTATGTGCCAACCACTGTGTAAAGAGCAGGGACAGTAGGGAACCCTGGAGTGAGAGAGAATAGTGAAGCTAGAAATAACCCCAACAAGTTTAAAGAAAAAGCAAAGGCCAAGGAGGCCACTGTGGGAAATGTCATTGCCATGTGTCACTGTGGGAGGTATTTTAAGGGGAAATCGAGATCTATCTGGAATTCAGAGCAAAATGATCCGAGCTTAAGTATCTCTCTTATTTGTGTTTGTGTGTGTATTTCTTTTTAAGATCAGGACTTATGCAAACTCTACTGTATCGCAGAAGGATTTGATTTCTTCTTTTCTTTGTCAAATAAAGTGAAAGATGGGACTCCATGCTCGGAGGATAGCCGTAATGTTTGTGTAGATGGGATATGTGAGGTAATGATGATTGCTTATTCATTCAACACATGTCTCCAGACAGTCCGCTTTGAGGCAGGCATGCTGGGGGCTAGAGAGGCCCTGGAAGAGGAGCCCCTCCCTCCCAGTCACAGCCAGTGATCACGGAGGAGTGAGCAGAGCCGGAGAGGGGGAGCCTTCCCTTCTTAGATGTGGGTCTGAGACCTCCGGGGGGCCAGGAGGAGGGGGCGTCCGCATCCCAGCCAGGTCTCAGAGGAGAGTGGAAGAGGGTGGGCAGCCAGGTAATGTCAGAAAGCTGGGTGGACGGGAGCTGGTGTAGTCGTCAGGGCTGGGGGACACTGAGGAAGGGGACAGGGAGCAATGTTTCTCCAGGGAACTGCCTGCCAGGATGAAGACTGGCATTTCCATCCTCAAGCCCGGCTGAGGCAGACTGGGGACAGTGGAGCTGTAGGAAGAGGTGGCAGGTCTGGGCATTAGTGGGATAGTCAGTGGGGACGTGGACAGCAGGGAAGTTGGGGCCGTGCAGCAGCTCCTGCAGGACAGTGGTTTCTTCAAGGTGCAGCAACCCAGGCTCCTCAGGGGGAGGGCAGAAGGAAAGGGTTGGGGGAGACAGGCGGGAGGAGGTGGCAGCCAGGGGAGCAGCTAGCGGGGGACTTGCATTACTCACAGAGATAAGGGTGGAAAGGATTCTGTTACCAAGAAGTGAAAGTGCTGCTGGCCAGACCCCATCTACCACCCAGGAAGGCCAGTTGGTATGCATATCCCCAGGAGTCCAAGCCTCAAGGCCGGTTCTAGCTCCTCGGGGCTCTGCAGGTCCCCCACGGAGGTCCTTGGGGAAATCCTTCCAGAGGCAGGAAGAGCAGATGGGGTATTCCAGGAACCTCTTTCTTCTGCAAAATGCTCAATTTTGTCTAATTATTAGTTGATTTGTTCAATATGCCGTTATTTTAAGTACTTATTAAGCACACCTAAACATGAAATACCTATAGTGTCACAACCCTTTGTTTGTAACTGACATCTAAAAAGCTAGAAAGCTGAACTCCAAAGAACTGTGAAAGGGCTTTAGGACCTGTACTTGTTTGGTGGCAAAATCTGCCCTGAATTAATGTGTGAATGTCGATTTTCCATTTTTATCCCACTCAGTGTAGTGACTTTGCAGTGGAGACATTAATGTGTTAGGTGTGGGGTGCTCCCCAGGCCTCGCTGGGTCTCCCATGTGCATCTAGGTGTGACACCCTTCATCTTTCCAAAGTTTCCACTCTGAGTTCTGAAATCTGACCCCGTGGATTTCAAGCAATTGTGGGCTATAGTTGTGTGGATTTTTAAAAACATGTAGATCCTATTTTCCTTGGTAGGATAAAAGAAATAAGCATCATAGAAAGTAAGAGCTCCTGAAATTCCACACATACACCCTTTCTAATTGATCTCAGGGGAGAATTTCCTCGTGGCAGCTGCCATTTCTGCCGCGGCACCTGGCAGCTCAGAAGCACATGGGTGCATTCCAGTGGAGCTCACGTGCACCATTGTTTGTCATTGTGCCGCGCTCTTTATGGGTCTGAAACTCACCCACGTTTCCAACATGAATACCCAAGGTCTCATTTGGGCTCGGGGTTCTCCTGCTGGGGAGCAGCACTGTAGCGTTCCACAACTTAAGGTTTCTCAAGAGTAGAACCACAGTCTCGCTGTGCACATATTGGGTATCCAATAAATATTTGTTAACTACCCAGTGTGGGTGAGATTTTCACCTACGCTGGCAAAGAGGTTTCTTGCATGAGACTAATGACGGTATTGCTTGTATTGTCCTTTCTTTCATGAATGACATGGGACCTGGTGGGTCCTCCAGAGAGTGGGCTGTGACAACATCCTTGGATCTGATGCTGCTGAGGACTCCTGTGGGGTGTGCAGGGGAAATAACTCAGACTGCACGACCCACAGAGGCGTCTACACCGCACACCACCACACCAACCGTGAGTGTCCCAGCGCTGCCTGCAGGTCTCCAGCAAGGGGGAGTGGAACTGGAGCTCCTGGGGGGAGGAGGAGGCAGAGTGAAAACAGCAGGCGCTCAGAGTGCCAACAGCTGGCTTCTCGAGCCTTTGGTGTGGATGAGGAGTGGTTGCCAGTCTACTTGAATTTAAAGGGTTCTTAGGAGGGTGAAAATCACAGGAGCCCTGCTCACTCCGTAAAAACCTTGTGCATCAATTTCCAAATCGAGTTCCATTTGATGGCTGACACAGATCTTCTACGGGTCCTACGTGGGTTCTGAAGTCTGTGGAGAAGCTGCACTAGTCAGACGCCCTGTCCCCTTTGGTCATGCAGAGTATTACCACGTGGTCACCCTTCCTCCTGGAGCCCGGAGCATTCGCATCTATGAAATGAACACATCCACCTCCTACATCTCTGTGCGCAACGCCCTCAAGAGGTACTACCTGAACGGACACTGGACTGTGGACTGGCCTGGACGATACGAATTTGCAGGCACTACCTTCCGCTACAGGCGGTCCTACAAGGAGCCAGAGAGCCTGACCGCTGCCGGGCCAACCAACGAAACGCTGATGGTGGAGGTAGAGCAGCCTGGTGGTTGGGGGCTCGGCTTGGTGGTCACTGGGTGTGTTCATAGGTCACGGCTGTTGGCCTACTTGTAACTATGGGGCAGAATGTGCAGTTAAGAGTGATCCATGTGCAGCTGCAGGGACTGTAGACTTGCTTTTGTCTCCTGTCTTTTCTTGGTGTGTGATGAGGGGAACACACGTTTCCATCTTTGGTCTTTATCCATTGATTTTTATAAATATCCACTTCTCTCCTGTATACTCAATGGTTGTGAGAAGAGCCCGTTCTGGGAGTGGGGAGCTTGTGATGTTTGGAGACATCAGCCTTCTGCTGCCATGTGCTGTGTGACCTGCCAGTGTCACAGCATTGACCCTCACTGGCCACACCTGGGCTGTCTCACTGGCCTGGTGTGCATGTGGGTCTCCTCCTGACCCAAGCCCTAGCCTTTTCCGCCATGAGTGTGTAGTCACTTGACACCGTCAGGCTTCTTCTGGCAACCAAATGTACCCCAGCGGCCCAGGCAGAGGGCAGCGCACACTGTGGATGTACTAGATTCCGCCCGTTTCACATTTCTGTGAAGCTCAGGAACAGCTCTTGGTTCAGAAGTTGCCGGTGAACCCACACCTCACCGTGGAGGTGGCAGCTTACCAGATGCCCCTACCCACTCTCTGGCCAGGCAGCCCCATCCCCTCCTCTGTGTCGGCCTGGGAGATGGCCCAGGGTGCTGCTGCGTCTCCACAGGCCACCTCCATCTCCCCAGCCCCCGGCCTTCTGCCCACTGTACATGTCCTCATCTTGGATTCTTTGCTTGCTTTTTCTCTTCCATCATTTAAGCTTTTAACTTTAATGACCTCAACAAAAGACAGATAATTTAGGGTGGAAAAATGGGGTTCTCTGGAAGCTGCTCTTCATGGAAGAGGGTCTGGAGAACATCTCTGTTGCTCGGCCATGTGACCATCTGCTGCAGCTTGCCCCCCTCCCACACATCTGTACCAGCTGGGACCCCTGCTGTGTCCTCAGGGAGAGAAAGAGACTCCAGGGCAGTGAGGCAGGGGCCAGTGTCTCTATCCACCTTTAATGTCAAGGGGAGCAAGCAGGTGGAATTTGTGTCAGCAAATGAAAGATGAGGGTTCCAAACATCTGTGCTTACTGAGATGCAAGGGTGTGGTCTATGTTGAGGGCTACGATTAGGTCTCAGGCTAGAAAGTGCACAATCCAGATCCAATTCCATCACCAGGCACCACTCACTGGGCCTGAGTAAGCTGCTTTGCTAATGAAACCTGTCTCTCCTGGACTAAAGGGCCTTTCCAGCACGCTGAAGTCCCTGAGCTTCGAGGGGCAGGGAGTGCTCCCACCTGACTGTCCAGGCGTGGGCCTAGCCATGTTTACCTCAGTGTCCTGGTCACCTACGAACCTGGAGGAAGTGAGACTCCTTTTTCAGTATCACTTTCTGGCTCACTACAATGAAGAGGACCCACAGAGAATCCCAAAGAAACATGAAGGGAGATGCCCTGGATGTCCTGCAGACACTTGAAAATTCGTACAGAGTAATAGGTTACACAGCAGCAGAGTGGAATGTTTAATTCTCCTCGTTGTGTTTGAGTCTACTTGAGTCTTTCCCTGTTAGGAGGCTCATGTTCATTTCAAAGGATGGGCAGTGTCTGTTTTACCATTCCATCCAACTTCTCCTTGATTCCATTCACGTTTTAAGTGGTTTAAAGCAACTAACCAGTGTGTAGCTATTTATTTACCTTTAATTAATTTTATTTTTCTCCTTCTTCTTTTGTAGCTCCTGTTCCAGGGAAGAAACCCAGGCATTTCCTGGGAATACTCAGTGCCCCGGTCGGGTGCTGAGAAGAAGCCCAGCGCTCAGCCCAGCTACACATGGGCCATCGTGCGGTCTGAGTGCTCCGTCTCCTGCGGAGGGGGTAGGTTTCCTCTGGCGGCTCCTGGAGGTGGGGACATTGGTGCCCAGTGCATCAGGCCCTGGGGCACCCTGACTGGGTCCTCATCGGGTCCCAGTAAGTAAACCAGGGCTTATCCCCCTGAGCAACCAATCATTCCAAGTGACAGAGAAGGGAAGATGGCCCTGTCACTGGTGAGCCCCAGCCACCATGCCACCTTGCCTGCCTCAGTGTGGAGCCATGAGGACGTCCTCTGGTGCATCGTAAGATGTTTTAAGGATCACGTCGTTACTCAAATATCATTCAAATGTAAGTGGCTGATTATTAGATATGTCTGTGACGGGAAGCAGAATTGAGCATGGAAAACGGTGATGGAGAGTTTTTCTTTTAATTTGACCTTGTGTTAGACTTGAATTTACTGGAAGAAAACTCACTTTCAAGTCATAGACTCAAAACCACCCAGGAATCATGTGAATCTGATGAAAGTTGCAGTGAGATGCTATGAGAGGACATGTCAAAAAGATCTTCACGTGACAACAGATGGCTTTGCTGTCCTAACAACATACAAATTTTAAGCCCATGCTTTCCCTGATAAAAGCAATTCCACTGAAACAGTTTTTTTTAAAGAGCCAATGTGCCCTGAGGAAAGGTGGGAGTAAATTTGTAAATATTCGCGAATTTAGAATAAAACGCAGGCTCTGACATTCACATTTCCACCTGAACAAATGGATCTTGGCTTGGTGCATTCTCAGGTTTAGTGGTCAAGAAATTAGACAAGACTGTGTTTCAATATGAGAGAATGACATGAATAAAGAAAAATCAAAATTTGTATTCATATATTCACAATAGTCACTCTAAATACATGAGATAAAGGGGAAAAAGGAAAACCGAAAGGTAAAGGAAACCACACTAATCTGAAAAGCTAACACTTGATGGATGTTAATTCTTCCCATTTTAAACCAAACAGAAAATATTCCAATCATAAAGCCCTGGGTCTAGACACCAGGAGCTTTCTGTGGAGAAATGTGGGTCCTTTCTGTGCAGAAAGACAGCAAGCAGGTAGCTCTTCAGCAGCAGAGAGAAGCACAAGGAGGCCCTGCATAGGCGATGCCCCAGGGAGC